CTTGGACCTCCTCACCGTACCATCACAATGGTCGCGCCGCGGAGAAAACAATTGGATAAGGAAGATGGGTAAATTTATTATTCATATCATCATTTTTCCCTTGCAAGTCCGATTCCGCTACTTCATCGTAGCAAGGGTGCCAACGGGTCAGAAAAGCTATGCCGGCGGAGCTTTAAGCTCCAGCAGGTACAACCAAGCCGGACAGGCTTTCTGTAGGTGCCGGGATGACGATTACGGATCCGAGTCCTAGGGCCAACCCGGCTAAAGCGGAACGGTGAAACCGCGGCTATAGGGGTACGAGGACTGGCAACTCGAACACAACTACCGCAAAATAGTTGCCAAAAAACCGAGAAATCAAAGAAATGGGCAGGATTCACAGAAATTGGAAAAGGGACCGGATGAACAACGATTTAAGTCTAACGGAAGGGTCAAACGGACCGGAAGGTTTGTTTGTGGCTACACATAATACAAGAACGATGTCGTAGACTACCTAATTCAAAAGTATATCGAAGATTAGTTCGCTACTACGTCTTGTTTCTGTTATTTCGATGACTGATATTTCGACATATTTTGCGTTATCTACTTTTCGCTGACGATTGTGTATTAGTAGCCACAAACCCGAAAGATCTCAAGAGTGATCTAAACCAACTAAAAATAAACTCCAAAAGAGTGGGACTGGAAATGAACTTGAAAAAGACTAAATGGATGCGAAACCCTTACTGTGCACAAGATAAAATTCAGCTAGATGAAATAGAAATTGAAGAGGTAAAGAACTATGTCTACTTGGGCCGTCAAATGGATCCCAATAACTGCCCTGAAGGGTAATTATCATTATTGTTATTATTATTATTGTCATTATTATTTTTTTAATTTTTATTTTTATATACTTCATGAAATTGTAATTATTTTAAGTAGTGTGTCATTCCCCGTAATGTATGCGTTTCTGGAGCGAAAGGTGTTTGTAGTTACTCCTGGTCAAGGGAGTAGCTGAGCTGAATCACTGAAAAATAATTGTCTTCCCAAGGATTAAATCTGCTGGTATAACAACGAAAGAAACGGAAATAACAAGTATCACTTTCCTTTCGTAGCCACTTGTCTTCTTCCTTAGCTGCGATCAGCTGCTCGCCTTTCAACTCTGAATACTTGCTACTCACATTTGGTATTTCTTCTCAACTTGAATTTAGATATAATTCTAATTTCTTTCAATTGTTAATCAAACAGTGTTAGTAATGTTATATGTATGTTATGATCGCATATTGTATTACGAATAATGCTACGCTTAAATATGAAGGTTCACTTACCCAAGTTTGAGGCGAAACGAACGAAATTCCGAATCAAGGATTTCTGAAATCAAACAGAAGAGTTTCAATCAAAATCGAAATTAACCTCAAACTTGGCCATTGCTTTATTCAACGCATTGAACGATTACTTTGATTCTATTGTTATCAATGCCAATAATTATTGTTAATAAATAATCATTCACAATGATTTTATTCAATTGCAGTACGACTGATTTTTGAGACTATTATTCGTCATTGTATGATCTCATGATTTCTCTATTGGATCAATGTTGTGTTTCGGTACAAGGATGCATGCCAAGTTTTAATCCTGTTGAGTTTATTCAGGAATGTTCTTTTTCACTTCATAAATATGTGAAATTTTTGTATCGTTGCATTTTTGTATTAGTACATTTTTGTGTTTTGTATCGTTGTCTTTCGAGTATTTGTTTTGTGTTTCAATATTAATTATATATTAAAATACATGAATTTGTCCTATCTGATGTATTCGCTCACACCGCAGAAAATAAACTGAGCTCTTAATTATAACTCGCATTATGAACTGCGATATTAGTGACACCTTTTTACATATCCTAATTAATGAAAACATTGATGATCTCTATAACACTCGGATTAGCCGGATAAAAGAGGTCGTAAAAGACAACACTGTCCGCCCTTCCCACATCTCCAACCATCAATTCACATCTGCGTCTGTTGGTCACATTGATCGTTCTCGCTTTGAATACTTTTCTCTTGATTGCAATCGACTCTGTCATGTCACACTCATTTAGCTCGCTCTTCATTGTTCATAACGGTTTGACGCATTGCACGTTTTTGTGTTCTGTGTTTAGGAGAAAATGTTTTGAATTTTTGGAAATCGCTCATTGACGATACTTTGAATTTGGAAAATCCCACTTTTGACTGCTTTTTGCAAAAGAGTGATGAAGAAAGTTTGTTCACAGATTCGAACGACTATATAAATGTATCATATTGCTCAGCTTGCATTAGAATCACTTGCAAATAGCCATATCTAGTGATGGATCGAAAACTTCATTTCTGAATCTTACGTATAAAAAAGCACTAGATAGTGACATTCTCATCTTTACGTGATTTGTTTTAAAATTATAGTGTTGTTCATGCTTCGAATAGTCCCTAGGAAATCCATTGCGAAAGTAATAGAAAATGCGAATAAATAGAGCAAATTAATCATCAGAATCAACTGAGTATTTAGTCAAAAGGAAATTAGCTTGCTCGGCAAAGTAAATTGATTTTCAAGAAGTCTTGTTGCGGTTAGCATCCAAAAAATTCCATCATTGAACACTTCCATACGAAGATTTAGGTTTTTGTGAGAATGTCTGAGGTTTTAGAAGTGGTATGGTCGAGAGAGAGAATTCAGGAGAGAACATCTCGATGCAATTCAGTTAATAAGGAGCTGTAGCAGCAGCTTTAACGAAATTATTATAAACGTCTTTATCATATAGTTTTCAAGGAGTTTTTTCCTCAATATAGCAGGTTTTCGTGATTCAGTCTTTGGTCAGCATTTTTCTTTTCAGCTAAATGAAGAAGCCAGGCATTTTACCTGGTGAAAAAGCATTACCGTTTTGTCATTTTATTAAAACTGTAGTTGCAACTGTCGAAATAAAAGCGAATCTGTTCCGATCCATGCCTGAGAATCAATGTGTGATTAGAATAGAGAATTCAGCATGTTCAATGTGGCTCAAGGAAATTGAATTCAGCTAACGTAATCAGTACAAATTGGTTTGTCGAGAACAACAATTTATACTGATACTTCTAGGAATATAGTTATGACCGAGAGCATTGAGTAATGAGATGTGGTCGGAATTTCATTGTAAAAAACCGTTCAAGAGAATGTTCCGCAGAGATGCTGCATCCGATGAACGATTACCAATATCAGAACCCTTCTACAAATCAAGTACTATTTTTAATCCTCACGTTGTAAGTACTGCTTTATCAGAACTCCATGAATTGATACGGCTCATAATCTTTACAACATGAGCTGAAATCAGTTTTTAAATGTCATTCTGTGAAAGAGGAATTTGGGCTTCATGTTTTCCAATCAATGTTCATCAATCGTTTTTGAGAACGAGCAGAATTATCGTTGCATTTCCGTTTGTTAGTATTTTTTGTGCTCCATTCAGGTGCATTTAGGTGGAAAATGAAAGTCAACAAAAATTTTCGCGTTGGCAACTGAAATATGTGAATGCGAAATACATCAACGGTTTATCAGCATTGGCCGAAAGGATGCAGTTTGCATTTGTGTAAACACATTGAGAACAAGTCGATTAACTGCTGCCAATGTTTGTGTTAAACGTTCTTTAAAAGTTCTTTGTGTTAAACCAGCGTTCTCTTTCACTTTTTTAAACACAATGTTTGTGAAAAATATTCAATAGGTTAAGAAAAATGAAAGCATAAATGAAAGGTTGTGATCAAATGAAAACTTTCGTGCTTTTGACATTATGTGAATCGCAACAAAACGTCAAACATTTGAACAATACAGTGCCCGGACAATCTGCCTAAAGACGTTTTGCCTAAGGGCGGTTTGCCTATTAGGTAAAATATCCATTTAAAAACTGTCCATTAGGCCAACTGTCCGTTAGGCGAACTGTCCTTACAATTAGGCAAAACATCTTTAGGCAGATTGTGCGGTCACGAAACAATACACATATGAAAATGACATAAAAACTTCGATTAATCCAAAAAGATGTTATTGAATGCGAGACAAAGAAGTTCAAACGTTTCGCTATCAAAAGAACTTGAAGGGTGAGGTTTTCACTCACGGTTTTGCTTGCATTCATACCATAATTTATGTCAGTTCTTAAGGTCTCATTGCAGTGCTACGCTCTACATATGTCCTTACAGTTCAGCTTGCAAATGGTTTGGCCATGATCGTGCGCTATGAACTTTCCAGCTGGAAGCATTTCCAGTANCCACTCGATCCAAATCTTTTCGATCCCTTAACTTTGCCTTGTACTGGATTTCAGCTAATGATTTTACATACGGTATTGCATTTCTATGAATGAACGATGTTTTGGAAAAAAATGAACTGAATGGATTGTTCATTGGAGCGAAATTGCTGTCTCATAGTCAACAACTGATCATGCATTCTCAAATCTGAACTTTTAAGTTCATATTTCAAGTGTTTCGTCGAACTGTAACTGAATTAGCACATATTATCAGTTACGAAGTACGCAATCACTAAACTATGCCTGTGTGCACAAATTCATACGAACAATAGTAATACTGCCATGAAAAAATTCACGAAGTACACTTACAAGCGATAATCCTTACAATCTACAGAACTCAATAATCAATGGACTCAAACGAATTATTGAGTTATATTCAAAATACCATCGGAGTGAATGGTGGACTTCTGTTGTTGAATAATTGAGGATGGACGAAGTGAACAATTTGTTCACTTGATATGTATTCCTCACGAAAAATTCATTATCTGATCGACGAGATTATTCAACTCATTCAAACTGCGCTATTGTTAAAGCATTCGTCTGGAAATATTTTCTTCTATATTCATCGATAGCTTCATCAGTGATCAAATACTAAGAATTCCTTCCGTGTAATGAGTTACACCGCGTTAATTGTTTCTTCTTTTGAGATACGCAAAGCAATTCCAATGCCTCTTAATCAGCTGCAGAGATTATTTATAACTGGATCTCAAATTAGAAGTACAGAGCGCAGAACTGGGCATTAAAGCATACAATCGCCATCTTCAACTTGTTCACTCCCAACGTCTTTCATTCCTCTAGTTTCCTCAAATTGAGTTTGATTCGGAGCAACGTTCTTGATCTCACCACCATTAAGCATCAGCAATCGATTCACAAAACGACGGCAACTCTTAGGTGTTTCGGATCGAAGTGAGCTCGATTCTTCAGTTAAATGCACAAATGTACGGAAGAATTTGCTCAATTCTTTGTGAATCGTTCGACGTCGTGATTCATTCAAATTACGAATCAATTCTCGATTAAGTGCAGCATAAAAAATCCAGTTACCAGCAGAATTTATGTAGGGTAAAAAGCTGAAACAAATAAATATTACGTTGAATAATACATGTTGGTAATGGAATTGCATTGATATGAATACCGTAGCATAGCAAAGGAACAGGGAAAAGTGGCGCGTAGGTCGTATCGTTTGTAGATCTGTGAATAGAATCGCAACAAGTAAGAGGGGTTGACATCTTTGAATAGTAAGAATAAGAGAACATGCTTCAATGAATAAAGTAAGTATTTTGGGTTTTCTTCGAAAGCGTTCTTAATGCATTTCCTCTCGTCTCTTTCTCGGTTTCAAACCCGTCCTTCTTCTTGTGACCTTAACATTCTGCTGCCTATTGGAATTGGATTGCAGCAGGACTAGTACGAAGATTATTTGTACACGAATTTGTTTTTATTCAAATATGAAGGCAGCAGTTATGTTTGAGTCGCATTCGATTCCTTTGAAGAAAAGCATTGGCGCGCCTATTGGAACATAATTGTCGTCAATTTTTTGGTGAATAAGCATTCAGCCAATTAGATATCAAAAAATTCCACGCGAACGAGGACTTTCTATGAAAAACTTTCGGAAGACACATCGACCATCGATCATTATTCTATTGAAATCAACCAACATTCTTCGGATATTCGCTAACCTTGATAACAGTCGCAAAGTGGCAACCCATCGTGAACTAAGAAGTGACGAGATGGATATGTTGAAGAAACTGAGCATTGGAATCAATACAAAAAACCAAAATGGTGTCCAACAAACAAAATGAAATATGACCACTCGAAGAATTGAATGTACCACATTACGTGCATAACTACCCGTTTTATCTCGGCCTAAAACGTATCAGTTCATGTGACCCATAGAAAATTTTTTTTTAGATTCTGGAAAACATTTTTCAAAATCTGAAATGCTGGAAAATTCCCAGTACGTTTTTAGATTCTGGAAAACTTCATCTGTGGGAACCATATGAAAATGGGCGGCTCAGCTAAAATGAGCTCTCAATTCCGAGAATAACATCAGTCTCGATATTGAACTTGATGAAATGTAAGCGCAAAGTAGAACACGTCGTGAATTTCGATAGTCGTAACCATTTACTGTCATCAAATAAAGCGTTAGAATGAATAAGTGTTATCAAGTTTACATCACGGATCACTTCGAATACAATATCAATTTGCAGTGTGAGCAACCTACCTCGAGTCATCTTCCTGCGAATATGCTTTATGATGAATATATACGAAACAACAATGACAATGACTGGAATCAAGAAGCCCAAAACGAACATATACATTATGAAAATCGGTAATATCGAATCCGGTAAGTCGCTGCTGCAATTACTATCATTTTATCAAAACTTTTCAACGATTTTTGTTACATTCAGTTCAAAAAACTTTTACAACGAATGTGTTGAATTTAAGTGTACCATACCTATTAACAATTTTCAGGTTATGCTTGGTTGTTCAAAGTATCTTTTCATCAGTGCCACTCATGAAAATCAATTCTCAACATTATCATTATAACTAGCTGAAATGGCACTTGATATTCGATTTTTCATTACTGTATCATCACAACAATATTCAGAGAAACCTGGTAAACACTGACAGTGAAGCGTGAATTAATTGTTACATCCTTTTTCCATTCCGATTACCCCTTTTGCATCATATGCAAAAATTATTAACCGTTTTTCGCAGATATATTATCAATTTTGACTAGTTGCAACTTCGCTTGCCTTCAGCTCATGACTATTCAATATGCTTGAATGCGATTAATTTCGTTGGAATGTACAAAAATGAATAAATTCATTCGATACCTGCATAAAATTTTTGTATGTGACACGTCTTTTTTGTTCATATGATAGATATTATGCTTTGATGTTCTGGCGTAATAAATAATTGGCGCACATAGCATCACAATTGAACTCACCAATGAGCCTAGTATAATGCCAACGCATTTCGTTGTTCTTAAATAATGAATTTAAAGAACGTTTTCATTGTTTCAATGGTATATAAGTTAGCAAAGCTGTTCATCTAGCAAATTCTGATTACGGAAATTACGCAGATAAGATCCGTCATTATCCAGATAAGAAGGTGCTTTTCTGTAAGGGAAAATTACGAGCAAGCAAAGAGATGTCAGTGGATTGCCATTAGTTCAGGCATTTTTAGAGTTGCACCGAGAAGTTTGATTCAGGATGATCTGTTCGGGTGGAGGTTGGAAGCGAATGAATAATTGATTATGAATAGCTTACCGACAACACCGCCAACGGAATGGTTTGCAAACAGCCATAAAGCGTTCAAAGCTCATGATCGCAAGAATGGCCACCGAAAGAAGTTTATTCACGTTTTCGATTGTCCAAAACAATTTGCAGACAAAGAAACCGAACTCCCAACTTCCGAGTAAAAAATAACTCATCAAAAGAGGGATCATGCAAAGAACCTAAAACATTATCAAAAATTTTTCTTGAATAAGCACTCCAAATGGCCTGAACCAAGAGGATCGACAGAAGTTCGGTGGTGCAGTCGGTTTGCATGTTACGCTTTCTGGAGAGGAATTAAAACTGTGGCATATTGTTGAGTTCAGTGAAGAAGCTTGGAAACCGTACAAGAATCTTGTTTCTTTCAAGTCCACTCGTTTGGAAAACAACTAAGAAATATGAATGCACATTGTTTTTCACAACCGAACAAGAAATGTCGTAATCCCTTCATGGCCAATTTGTTTTGGACGAACGGATACGTTCTGTGCAATTCATTTGAACAAGGAACCGCCATTGTTCATACAAAATTCGACTATGATCTTACCTGTCGTCGTTTCAGTCATTTCGCTTATGCTTCATAAAACATACCAATAACTAATCGAATAGCAACAAAGGATTCTTCGTGCATTATACGAGAGAAGTATCATTTATGCGATCGATAACATATAAACATGTGTATGTTAAGTTGAAAATTTTCTCAGGGAAATGACAGTGGCATCCATTTTCATGGAAATTGCGTGATGTTCTTGAAATGCACCGAAGAAAATCGGTAAATCATAAGTCTGCGCTAAAATGCGGATAAATTTTTTTAAAAGAAAACTTACGAAGAAATCGACGAAACTCAACGAGATAATGTACAGGCTGGTATGTTGGAATATTGAATACGTTTGGTTCCAATTGCGGTGCACTACACATATCAGGGATATAATTACCCACACATTTCCGATTATACCGACCGTGAAAACAATCGAATATATAATAAGCATTCCAAGCAAGTAACCAGGCAACATTGTGAGTGAATTATTTTACTTTTCCGATTCACTCTGTTCAAACAATACAGAGATTTTGAAGATTCAGTCAAGTACAGCAATCAAAACTTAAACACGTTCACTTTAGCATCACTGAAGAACATCGCTGCTGGATAGTCGTTTACTTGAAATGAAGAAGAATTGATGACTTCAAGCACTTTCAATTCTGCCATGTCTTTTATATCTAACAAGCATAGTCATAAATCAGCAATTAAATTTCAAAGGCTTTTAACAGTGAAAGACGTTCACGAATACTTGCGAATTACACACTTCGTTTGAACATTCAGCATTTATTGGATCAAAATTGGAATTGTAGTCGAATGTAATTGTAGTTAACAAAATTAAAACTGTACTCGTTGCGCGCTTCTGAGCGCAATCGAATCAGCGAAGAAAGGTCATTTTTAATTGCGTTTATCATCGAATTTTTATTGAAATAAAGGATTCGCTCATTATTCTATCCTCATTTATAGCTAATATAAGATCGCCTTCTACGAAATGTTTATATCTGTCGCAGTGTCATTGTGAGCTGAAAAATAAAGTCTTGAACTGCTATTTTTCTATAACAGTGCGTGACATTATAAAGAATATATCTCGAGCATGCATCCTTGATGGTAATTGAACCCACAAAAATGACATCCGGGTAGCAAAATAGAACCGACGTAAAATTCTCTTATAATCCGAATATTAACTGTTTGATCAGATTACTTCGAATACCCCGCTGATGAACTAAATACATTACTACAGCATGAATTGTTTCACCTATTCAGCAAATTCGATTAATGGTACAAATGACGGTACAAATGATATTCTTGTCATACCAACTTTCCAGGTATTGCAACAAAAAATCAAATGAGCGAAACAACCACGATTCTGTGCCTTAAGCGAATATGTATGCATGAAAATTCCGAATATATTCAGCTGAATAACAAATGACTGTGTTCCTCAGTGACATGACTAGCGATGTCTCTATTCCAGTTAAACTGTTCTATTCCTGTTATACATGAGAGGTGAAACAACTCGTCAAGGGCAACTTACCGCAGTTAATTCTCAAAACTGCCAAAGACTGTTTGTGAGGAATTCCCTCAAGAAACAATTAAAGATGCAACTGCGTTTTCAAATGAACACCCTACTTTTGAATGTTGGTCGTACTCTAAACTCTACGAGCAATCCATCGCAGAAATTGTTCACATTTTACGCCTCCAATAAAAGTTTATGCTTGGAGGATTTGAGTCCGATTGAACGAATCAGTTCATTCCGAACTCATTAGTACGAAAAACCGTGCATCAGTTTCTGACCGAACTGTTGGGACGAAATGGGAGTCCTCTGTTTTTAAATGATGCTGGTTACCAGAACACGAAACCCTCCGTTTTCCTCCAATCATCGCCGTCAAAAGCTGTCAGCTGCCTGCATGGACAATTTTCTCCCACCCGAAATAATCTCCATTTTGCACTGAAAACGCCAAAAAACCACGTTTTCAACCCTAACTAGCCAAAGATACCTTGGTCAGAGTATCTAAAGCACTCGAGTAGATGAAATTCAAATGAAATGGATGCTCTTGTTCCGCCGTATGCACACTCGGTGCACCACTTATTTTCATATTAATGCATTTCACTAAACAAATTTATTCAGTTCCGCTTTGTCTCAAATCGATAATAATGGAGTCGATTACCGTAAAACTCGTCGCATTAGCTGGCTTTCATTTGTTATTGTTTAAATTCTCATAATTAATCCATCATTCTCGATGGCAATTTCAGTCATCCGCTTCTCACGTTTAGTAACCTCATATATCAATAGTCATACATCCGCTCAAGTTATCGAATGAATTATCAATGAATAAACAGATATTCTTCTCGAAAGATGAAGAATGTACCATCAAAACAGATATTCTTCTCGAAACGAAGAATGTACCATTGATGAGCAAGTTGAGAAAAAGAAAAGTAACTGAAACAGA